GCCGGTGTGAGTTTTTTTTACATTCATTACAGCTTAACTGTAGTGAGAAAATTGTCTATAACCTCCTGTAAAAAGCTATTATGTGTGTCTGCAAGTTATTGTACAGTTCTCTTTCATTTTCAAAACTGTAAAATCTCCAGTCTTTATGGTTCTGGAATTAAAAGAATATTTCAAAATCGGAATATTGAGTGTGTAGGTAATTCTACCCTGAATCTGTGCTGGGCTGAAATAAGTCACACAATAAGCAGAGCTGTTCACTGACTCCTGTTGCATCCACACAATCACATTTTGGAGGAAGAGAGCACTACACCAGAAGCATGCTCCCTCCCAGAAGTTTTGATTATATTCTTCCTAGGATATAATACGCCATATCTCCCTGTCTGACCCCAGCATCTCTCCCTGGCCATCCACCTTGCTCCTTTCATTTCCTTTCCAAAAGGTTCCTTTCTACACAGTCATTTACAAGGAGAAGCTGAACTGCAGTAAGGTGCCCTACGTGTCCTTCACTGGAGTTAGGACTGTTTCATAGGACCTGCTCACACTGTTAGCAAGTATTTGGTCTGGCATCAAAAGTGTCTGCTGCTCAGAACTAGCAAGAAGTTAGGATTGTGCTCTGGAGAGAGAATGGTGCTGGGATGAGAGGGAAGAGCAGTGCTGAGACAAGGCTGAGGCTGGCCACAGCTCTGCTCTGGCAGCGCATCACAAAGACATTGCCCCTTCAGTGGTACATTGAATCTCACTGGCATCCTCCGTGGTGGGAGAGCCATTGTATCAGCTCAGCAGCCCTGGGTTACGTCTGGAGGTGGTAATTGTCCAAAGGGTACAGTAAATGCCATGCTGAGTGTGAACATCCACGGATACGCCTCTGCAATCCTCTCTCCAAAGGGTACTTTTTCACATCGTGTTTTCTTTTGGAATAAAAGCTATTTGCTCATCAGTCGTAGCTACTTGAGTCTCTCTTCTCTGTTTTATTTTAGATAAAATCAATCTCTTGTAGCCCTAAGGACATACTGGGGTCAGTAGATAAATACAGAGAGAATTTCATTAAATAGGACCTTGAATTTATTGTGGGACACCAACTGAGTAGCATGAAAGGGGCTGTAGTATGGAAGGGGATCCCCCTGACTTCAGTGCTCAGTGAGTGGGGTGTCAGGAGGCTGAGCCCCAGACAGCCCCTCAGAGGGCTGTGTGTGGAGGCAGGCTGAGCCCCTCAACTCTACCAGGCTGTAGTGTGGTCTCATGGGTGTGAGGGCAAGATTTGACCCAAGTCGCCTTCTGAACAAAAAAAAAAAACCCAACAAAAAACAAGCCTAAGCGCAGTTTCAACTGAGTTTCTCTTATCTGAAGGTCACTTACTTTCCATGCCCCTTTTTGATTGTAAAGGAGATTGTATCAGTCATCTGTAAATACCTCAGTCATGTGGCTTTAAGCAACCCAGAAGAAAAAACCACCAGTTCTTTAAATAAAGATACATGTATTCTTGTGACATTTCCATACAATTGCAATTTTCAAGGGAACCAAACACTCATTACTACACAGTTCTTCAGAGGCCAAACCTGACCTTTAGTCAGAGCAAATTCCCATTTGGCTAGGCTTATTCATGCAGCCTACAGTTCTGATTGAATTCTGCATCGACTGAGAAAATTTTAAACTGGACTGGAGAACTAATTAGATTAAGAGTAGGAGTATTAAAAAGCCCTGCATTGGCAGAGTAATGGGATAAGATCCTTATCCTCAGGAGCTAAGGATCTTATCCTACATGTACATTCCAGGAATCTAGATCTGGAGGAAAAGTACTTTATGACAGTGTATTGTAACTGTAGGGAGAAAGATGAGGGCAAAGAATGACTATGAAGAGGTAATCAAACTAGGATATAAAAGCCCACTGAAATGTCCAACTTTTCCATATGGTAGATCACAGGTCAACAGAGAGACTGTCTTGCAAATTCTGTCTCCCCTGCTTCCAGGGTTGTGGAGATCATCTTTTCTCCGGTACACATTCACATAATATCCCTGGAGCAGCTGTACTCATTACTTCTGTGGAATACCATTTTCCCCCTGCTTTTACTAGAAGTTTGCAGCTGGAAAAGATGAGTAGCCAGCAACACATGATCAGACAAGACTGGTGGGGACCACCAGGCAGCTCTCCATAGGTCACAGTTGGAAATTTCTAGACAGATTGAAAAGAATTGGTCTCACTCTTGCTCTGTGCACTGACACTGAGACATCAGCTTGAGCTGTGCCAGGAAAAATATTTAGTAGAGTATTATATGTGTTAAGTTATGGTGGTTTTTTTCTGAAATTTTCTATTAATAGTCTAAAGGCAGGTGCAAACAGGAGACAAATAAAAGCCCACAGCATGCAATATTTTCAAAGCTGTCTTCGGCTTTTTGGACAAGATATTAGTAAGTATGATTACTCCACTGAAAAACAAGAAGGGACAGGAAAAGCCTGCAAAACATTAAGGGAAAATAATCTCATTAAAAAGGAATGGACTGAAGAGTTGAGGAAGTGAGTAACCTGCAGAGAACTGGGGGTACATTGCAGGGCTGTGCTCCAGCACACTCCGGCCAAGCCAGTTGAAAAAGCTCCACGTATTTCCCAAAGGAAAGTAAATGTCATCAACAACTCCAAGCCTATCTGTCCATATGAGAGAAGAGAAGGAAAGAGTTTTCTTCCATACAGCTATTTTTAAACTGTCTTACATTTACCTGGCTCTAGAGAATGACACTAGGATTATATATCTACCAAATAAGAAGTTTTATTTATTGATCAAAAAAATTGCCCATTGAAACATTATAATGTGAAGAGATCCTTGGTCAATAAGGATGAATTTGAAATGGAAAATGGCCAGAAGGTACATATAGCTGCTTTCCTTTAGCAATAAGAGCACTAGTCAATTTGGATGCCCCAAGATTTGCCAAACTTCTTTTAAAACATTACATATGGTTTTCTTGTTGCGCTGCTACTTCATTCTATACATGAATTATTGTGACTATTTCTTTGACATTGGTAAGTACCTTATATTCTGCTGGTATCTCTTTCAGTTTCAGGAAACTTAATATTTAGGTATAATGGATTACTCTTCTTGCAATTTAACTAGCTCAACAAATTTAATTGCTCAACTTGATTAAGCTCAACTCCATTTGTGGCTTAGAACTTCTCTTTTCTCTAACACAGGGCATACTTTAGTGAAGTTCCACTTGCCCTTAACTTCCCCTTTTCTGTAGATAACAACCTATTTTCTCTAAGCATTCTGCTTAAATTGATTTCTCAACTGAATGCAGCATTTTGTCATCTTCAGAATTCTGCAATACTACTGAGATGGCCACAGCTGACAGCCTCATTGCCCTTGTTACAATTTTGTGTGTCTCTGTGTAACACAGAACACTAGATCTTGCAACAAAAATATATATTCAAATTACAGGTTTACTGGCATCGTGTCTTCATACTGTGCTAAAATAATCTCCTGCAGTCTATATTCAGCGTTTCTATTTATGAATCCTGTATTTTGTTTAGCAGTACAAGAAAAAGAAAGCAGGCCATCATGGGCACAGCATTGAGAGCCTTTCTGGGCTCTTCCTAACCTATCAGTATTGAGGGTGATTCTATGAAAAGGGTAAAAATGACAGTCCAGGATGGTGCAAAGACCTGTGATCTTGCACTTTCTCATTCTCCTTATTCTAACCCTCCAGTAGTCCTGACATACTTTAAGCCCACATGGGGCACGCTCAGTGACTGAGTGACCTGGCTGTATAAGTCCCTTGGTTTGACCCTTACACATCCCTGGTACTGCAGAAGCACTAAATCAAGGTTTCATATGGAATAAAGAAGAATAAAAGCTACCAACTGGCTACCTCACATCTTTGCACAGAAAAAAAAAAAAAGCTTTGCAAAGAGCCCTCACTGCTTTCCTCCAGTTGCCTGTTGTGGTCTGGCTGACAGAATCCTCCAGCTGTGGAAAAATTAGTTTAAGGATCTGACAAATGGGATAAGAGTTTATTTGCAAATTAAGCTATATAAGCTATCATCACTGACTAAACTTAGTACTTTTTTTTTAAGTATGAGCATTTATTATACCAAATAATTATGCAAGAATCACTATCTAGATTTTTAATAATGCTGTGGAGGAAGGAAGAAAGGAACATTTGATATCTTTTCCGACATTTGGCTAACTTGGGGGAAGAATTCATCTTACCTAATCTTAACTGTTCAAATGGTAAGGATGAATCTAAGATCATAATCTGTGCTTTCTCTACACTGAAAGAAGACAGACAGATGCAGCCAGAAGGTGATTCATATGTCTTCTTCTTAGACTAGTTGACATGAGGCTACAGTATGTCATGGGAAAATGGCCTGCCTTGGATTTATGATAAAATGTTTACACTTACCTATGTCTTCAGTGTCAGAATATAAATTGTTTAAGTATCTCCATTCTTCAGAACTTTAGGGTACATCCTTCATGTTCTAATTCAGGTGCTCAGGCTCCAAGTGTGGTAAGAAAAAAATTAATTTAAAAAAATTAGCCTTCATGCATTCCTATAACAGATGATAGGAAGCCAATTTGTGAGCTGGAGACTTTTTCCTTTTTTGTCAACAAAACTAAAAGGAGCAAGCATCCCTCCAAACCTTTGATAACTATGTTAAACTCACTTTTGGGGTGGAGAGGTGTTTCACTGGTGGCAATTACAATTTAGTAAAATGTTAATGGTGACACCAGTTTCTAACTTCTAGTAGCACATAGAAAGAAATTGCATACAGGAAAGCAATCACACCAGAGCAATGGGAAGTTGCAAGCAATTAAAAGATTGTTCCAATAAATGTAGAATCCCTCAAAATGGAAAACAAAAAAAATACAGAAAGCAAATAGGATATGGCAAAGAATCCAAAGATTTCATAAAAATAAGTTCATTGTCATTTTGTCTACCTCTTAGGCAGTGATATTATTTTCATGTAACCAAGCAAAACATTTGTCATAATGCAGGTGGGGAATCAGAAGGAGAGTGTCATGAGATCGCTGCTGTCAAGCTGTAATTCAGCACTGTGAAAAGGATTTCCATTGATGGCATTGGAGTAGCTGTCATCTTGACTAAGGTAATTACTCCACTGAGCCCTGTCTCTAGTAACAGGCAATATCAGAAGCTTCAGAGGAATTGCTCTTCTCTGAAGACTGAATACATGTGTGGCGGTACAAATTCTTCCCTGGTCAGTGGTTAGTAGATTGCATCATTTGCTTATTGTATTCTACAGCTCTGTAGTTATGGGAATTCCTTATTGATCATAAACTCATTCAGCCTTTTCTATATGTCAGCTAAGTATCTGGGCGTAATAATGAATTCCAGTCACTAGTAACATCAGATTCTATATTGCATGGCCCAGACCTGACAGGTAATTAGGTGGTAATTAGGTGGGATGACCTAAAGCTTGAAACACACACTCCTGACATTGCAAAAAGACCTTCACATAAGCAGAGATGTGTGTTGCCAGTTACTGTTGCAGAGAATAATTTTATACCAAATCTCATAATCACAGCAATCCCTAGAGAAGCAAAGGACAAAAAAAATCAAGCAGCAGTGGCAAGAGTAGGATCTCAAGATCTCAACGAACTCAGTGTCGGCACTAATGCTGCAACAGCACGGAGCAATTCATGGCCTGGAAGGCTGGTGAGCTGTTGTTCTTCACTGAGCTCTGTGCTTTCACAGCCAGCTGAACCCATGTAGAGTTAGCCCAAATGTATCTACACAGCCTGCACTACAGATAAACCCCACAACACCAGAGAGCCTGCTCACTGAGCAGTATGGCTGCCCTTCTGTTGCTTCAAACAGAAACCTGGATTATCTCAGTGGTTAAACTTTATTGAAACTTGAAACAAAAAAAATATTAAACAAATTTCAATGTCAAGTGTCAGTTCCAACCCTTTAGGGATACATGTGGTGCAGAAACACCTTCCATAAAGCAATGCATAGCACTGCAGTCTCCAGAAAGAACTCACTTCTGCCAGTCTTGTGTTACAGTGCAATCTGCAGTGAGTGTAGGATTAGGAATGGTATCTGAGGGAGAAAATGATCTCCCAAAAGGCAGGTGAAACCCTAACCCTTCCTTCTAATCATCCAGACTTTGTGACTCATTACCCTTGGGGTGAGAGGAAATCTCTGTCCGTATATCTTGGACAGAATTGAGTGCAGGGGGTGGAGCAGGGGGCACAGTGAGTGAAGTCTTAGGTGTCATGTGTTTCGCTGATCTAATGCAAAAATAGAAAGGAATCAAGGGAAAGAAACCCTGTGAAGACAAGCCAAGGGAAAAAAAACCCAAAAAAGCAACACTAACACACAGTATCTTCTGCAGAATTTGAGGCAGACACAGTCCTCAGAGAAGCCAAATCCTCTGATTCCTGACTTGATTACTTTGGTACAGTAGGCAAATTCTAGCATGCAAAAAAAAAAAGTAGAAGGCTAACTCAAAACACTTGGTTCTAGAAATTAACAACTGTGGCCTCAAACATATGTTAAATATACTTTAAATCAATTCTGTTTTCTTCTTGAGAAGGACAGGCACAGTCAGCACACCACCCAAGAGTCGTAGCACTCCACTTGAAGCATGGCAAAGGTGAAGCTGGATGGAGGACCAGCTCCTGGGGGCCTTGTTGGATAGCAGGGAGAAGAAAACATGTTACAGCATTTTCCTCACTTTGCCACTAATGGAAATGCACATAAAGTCCCCTGTGTACCAACTGTCTAATATGTTCTCTAGGGCTATGTTTTTAGGCATAATAAAAAGACTGAACTGAACAAGACTCTGCAAGATGTGGTTCAGAGGACTATCCCATAGATAATCCAGAAGGTTGTTGGCAATCCAGAGGGTTGGAAGGTGTCATGGATAAAGACCTATTGCCCATTTTCAACCATTAGCAGAGAGCTGATCCTCTCCTGGGTACCATGGTGTGTAGCCAATCTGAGATATTCCCAGGAATGTTCTGCCAACTATGTAGTTAAATGGCTAATGGATATCAAAAACCCTAGACCTTACCAATAAACCCAGTGGATTCACTTCTTCCAGTGGATTCACTTCTTGCCTTTCATAGGTCCAGAACCCATCAGTTCTTTCACCAAGTAAAGTTGGCTGGTTCATCTCTGTGCAGACAGGAAATTGAGCTGTCAAAGGCTTCAAGAATATAGAGAGAAGCTAGAAAGTAGAGAGAAGTACTTCAGGTTCCAAAACAAATATTAAAAGGTTGAAAAAGCTATTCAAAATGCCCCTTTACTCATGAAGCAAGTTGGTTTTCAAGCAAACTAAAAGAAGAAAGGACTCGCACAAAGCTCCTGTGGCCTTCTCACCCCTCACAAGCTCCCTAAATGTGCAGGCTGACTGCTATGGAATCTAGAAGGAAGAAGTTCGTGGGAAGTTCTCCCTTCCTCTCTCTCCAGGCCTGAAGCTCACAGGGTCTGCCCTTGAAGTCTCAGCCCAAACACTTCATAGATAAGAGAATCATAGAATCATAGAATCATTTAGGTTGGAAAAGACCTCTAAGATCACCGAGTCCAGCCATTAACCTAGAATTGCCAATTCCACCACTAAACCATGTTCCAGGATGGTGACTCTATCACTTCCCTGGGAGACCTGTTTCACTGCTTCATTTGCCAGTTCAGTTTCCTTTCTTGTACATATAGGAGAAAAGATTCTCATCAGGGCTGGATCTGCATCTGATGAAAGTACTGCTGGAGATAGCTCTTTTGACATTCCTCTGCTGTGATGTCCTTGAGGTCCTCATTGGAACATGGCTCCTGAAGATACCTTTATCCTCAGGGCCAGCACAGCAACCTTGTGTATGGATGCAGGGTCTTGGCTCAACCCCTTGCAGATTGCATTCTGGGAGCATTACTGGGAGCAGAATCAGGAGCAGTTCTCCGAAGGCAACTGCCCAAATATCTGCAAGAGGTGTCAAGAACTAGGGGTCAGCCCTAGATGAAAGTGCGTTTCTGTGAGCACCAGCTTAGACTGCACAATGAAGGAGCTTGGTAGACAGAAGCTAAACTCTGTGAAAGGTTTGGGGCAGTACCTCAATGGTCTTTATTGACACTTCTTTTCTGTAGCCTGAGTGGTGGCTAGACTGAAAACCTTTGGCTGCTTCAGATGCTTCTCTTGCACGTGGAAGGGACATTTGAGACCAGCAGTTATCTTCCAGTCACGTTGCATCATGGCCCATCTAGGCACATCCTGGTATGTTGCCTACTGAATGAATCAAAACTATTTAGAGCTCTCTGTCAAAGATTTAATTACGTACCGTTCCTGGGTAAACTCATGGCACTGCAGTCACTGGCCTTTCTGTGCCACAAAACAGGCTTGAAGTCTTGGGAAGTGTTTGAGAGATTATTGGAGTTGGGTGCTCCTGACCATGGAAATTGCTGTTACTAGCCCTTGGCAGTGGCTGCAGGATATTTTATTGCAAGCAGGAATTGCCAGACAACCTGTGTTTGCAGCTGTGTTTGCAGCTCCCCATGCAGATCAAGTGACTCTGCCCTACAAATGGCCTGTTTGCCCCAGTGAAGCCAGGAGGGTTGACGCACTTCTGGAAAGCTCTCCCTGCACAGAGGTTCTGTGTCCTATTGCTGCTTGCTGCTGGCTCCCACAGCCTTAGCCATTGCATCAGAAATCACATGCCCTCTATGCAGGGGCTAAAGGCAACCACTCCTCCCCAACTCTGTCCTTTTCCACCTCCAGTATGACTGCACACAGCAATGCTCCTGCCAGAGCTCTGCTTCAGTGAGCTCCTCTTGAAGTTACCACGGCAAAGCCACATAGAGTCTCTCCATAAGGATGTGTTGGGACCCTGAGGTCCCTGCCAATGGCCCAGGACACCATTTCAAACCCCTGGAGCCATCAGCCCCTGCCCCAGTGATGGGTCCCACCGAGCCAGGCACACCTGTAGGCTCATGTCCCAGCCTGGCCTCAGCCAGTCCCTATGCAGGTGCCTGATACCCAGGGCTGGGACTGTCCAGGGCTGGAGCTGTCCTGGTGTCCTCCAGCTGTCAGGCTTAGGGCTGGGTGATGGGGGCAGGTCCTTGCAGCCAAGTCCTACCCTGCAGAGCCAGAGAGCAGGGAAGGGCGAGTCTAAATGCTCTCTGGCTCTGCTGAAGATGGACTGTATATGCTGCTTGAGGGACCCTCTGAATGATTTGAGACCAACTTTAGAAAACGTATAGGTCTTTCTGAAGCATGGTTATTTCCATCATGACTTTAATCTCTTCACATCTCCTCATCATGATGAAAAAGTTATTTAGAAAACCCTCAAGTACTTTTACCTTTATGCAACATTTCCCCCTACCCCACTGTTCTCACACTTAAAATGAGCAAAAACATTCTTGCTCAAGCTTTCCAGAAACAATTTCACCTTTGGGCAGAGAATAAGCAAATAACCTCTCAACCCAGAAAAAGAGAAGTTTCAGACTGTTCTGACTAACAGAGGAGGAAAGTTCAGGGGACTAGAATGGAGACAGTGTTGTGCAACAGAAATGATAGTCTGCTTCTTTTCACAGTATAACTCTTAGTTGATTTTCATTTATTTTTCTAACAAATTGAAGTTTCCCTAAGGATACTGACAGTGATAACCAACAGACTTTTAAAAAGTCAAGACACCTAATTCCAAGAAAATACACAGGTATCACTCCTGCATCCTGCAACTCATCAACTCCAGAATTTAAATATTACATTTAGGAGTAGAGTTTTAGGCATTCAAGAAATGTTATGCTAATATAGCAGTCTTTCTCAGACTTTTGGAGACTTATAAGCTGAGTGACATCTGATATATGTTCAAGAGTAACATTTTTGGATTCAGGCACCTAGATTTCTCAAACTACTTCTATTCTCTGTCATTGGGACTGGAAATAAACCTATTTAATTTATTTAAAGAGGTTTTCTTTCATGCAGTAGGTATGTTCTGGGGACTGTAGTTCCATATATTGTAAATTTTCTACCTTTGTTTTTTCTTTATTGACTACTACAGAAACTGATTAGATCAGATGATGTAACTTGAAGATATCGGAGATGTTTGAAATGGCTATGGAAGCCTTCAACTTTAATGTTTTATGACATGCCAAAAACTTTGGAAAGTTTTCAGCTTGCACGTTGTTTACTGGTACCTTTCCACTTTGCAGCTTGGATCAGTGAGACTGCATCTACATTAGATAGCTCTATTTGACACTAATCCATTATCCTAGCCTTGTCATCATGGTGCATCTGCATTATTTTTTTTAATCTACTGCACTCAACACAATTGATGGCAATCAGTGCACGACAAATAATCTTTCACAACAGGTAAACAGAAACCTGACGATATTCAACACTTATTCCTGTCCCATGCAATTTGTCTCTTAGCTATATTAATATACAATATTTATCAGTTATGTAGTGATATTTATTAGTATTGCCTATTTTTGTATGCCCAGTCTAAAGAATGTTTTGCTATCAATGGGTATTGCAGATATTTCAATTCATTAAAGGTTTTTATCCTTTCTTCTTTAGTTGCAAGTCAGAATGCATTTCCATACTACATTTTCTCCAGCAGCAAAATTGATCTAGACAGTTCTCTTCCTTCTCTATGCCACTTTTTTCTGCTGCCACATCAATCTTCTGCTATGCTTTTTGTGCAAAAGCAGCCATCTGTGGGGCAACACTGTAAGACAGATCAGTAAAATCAGGGGTGCTAAAAATAAACTCTCCAGGAAAAAAAATAAATCAGTGAGACAGTTGAGCTGGAAAACGTAGGAGAGCAGTGAATCCTCCAACAAAGGGTGTTCTTCAGAACAAGATGAAAGAAAGGTCAAGGACATAAATGTATGTGTCAAAAGGGGAAAGGTTGGGGATAAATTTTTCCCCTAAAAATGATGGCCTGGAGACCAGATGATGACAGAGGCTGCAGGAAATATAAAATTACCTATACAAAAATAAAGTTTGGATTTGTCAATTTTATGTTGAAGATGATGGTTGAATACTCAGATAAAGATTTCTAAGGAAGACTCAGATGTGGGATCAGAGACATGGAGACATTTACCCATCGTATTTGATACTCTTCCAACCTAAGTTTATACAAAAGACCACCAACACATTAAATTCTGGCCCAAGGCACTGGATTTTACAGTACCATATGAGATAGCAGTGTTTTATACATAATATCAGTGTTTCATATGTAAATATTGAAACTTCACTGAGGCCAGCAATCCATACAAACATAGATTATGAGAAGAATACACAAAATTAAGATGAGGTTGTTCATGTCATACCCTTTCTCCATTCCTTACTACTGATAGAAAAAGCATTTTCCTTCCTCAGCCCAGTCTGCTCACCTCTCTTCATGCTGGTATGATTTTTGCCCTTCCCCATTTGACAGCATGTTGTGTGTGCTTATGTCTCCTTAGAACATAGCAGACACTTTGTTTGGAGGGCAGTATTTTTGTATTCTGATATAATACTTTGTACTTTTCTGCCAGCAGCTGAATTAAATACCCAGAAAGTTTAAATCCTAGATGTTGTCAGGACAGTATTTTGGAAAGGCAGGCTTGTATGCTTTCTTGAATCTTGTATGCCTCACCAAAAGCAGTGTGCATGAGGCGTTTCCTCTGTTACAGAGTTTGAGCAGCCCCTACTTTTCCTTAATAGCGCTTTGTCATTGTGTTCTACAACAATAACCAAGCAAGCAAGCAAACAAACATATCTTCTCTACATACTAAAACAAACTACTGTCAGTTTTGGTGTACAGCTTGTGCTGAAAAGATTCTCTTTCCTCCCCATGCTTTCTGTATTTTGTTAATTGACTATTTCGAATACTTCTGATGAAAAGCACCTACTTGGCTGCAGGCCCTCTGCTGCCAAGCTCTCAGAAGGGTGGCTGGCTGGAGGTTTGCTTTTTCCCTCATCAGCTTCAAGGAAAAACCATCTGACCACCACAGTGGCTGCTCAATCTCCCAGTGCAGAATTTTAAAACACCTGGGCTCCCGTTCCCTCCTGTTCTCCTGCATTAGCCAAGAGATTTCAGAACATTTGTACCAATTTGCTAAATCCCTCTGGACATTTAGAAAGTAACACATTACTGCATTGCTTTGCATTTCTTGTTGCTGGTTTCTGTTTTATTGGTAGCTGCATATCTGAGTTGGTAAATGGTTTGCTGTTCCTATTCCAGTAAAAATACCATGCTATTCTATATGCTAATTTTTTTGTTCCTCTGTTTATTTCTTTCCTTCACGCACCTCCATTCTTGCCTTTCCTTTTTCTCCCTTAATTTTATGAACTAGTTCCCTTTCTCTGTGTCAAATCCCATACATAACAAAGCGGCCAAGACTTCACCCTGCAAGTGGTTTATGTAATATATTTCTGTATATCTTACCCAGGTGAATACAATGGCACCACTTACATGCCTTAAGTGTCATGTACATTTGCCATATCTGAGTCTAAACAACTCACCTACCTGCTGGCTTTTACAAGCAAAGAAGGAGCTGGCATGGTTTGTATGCAACATGCCAAAATTCCAGTATAATCTCATAGTTGTTACCCTTATTTTCCACTTCCCCTCCCTGTTTGTTGTAATTGCCTATTCTGTCATTTCAGATTAAGTATCTCACCATGGAATGACTCGTATTTACTTTTAATTTGATGTACTGGAAGTAGTCCTATTGACTTAAATGGAACTATGCACATAAATAAAGGTAAGTGTACCTGCAAGCCTTTAACAGATGGTACATTGCAAATCCTGCAGGAAAAGCACAGTACATTTTATTCATTTTACTATCTTTGCACATGTTATATGCAGGTTGGGTGATTACTAACTTTTTTCCAGATTAAGTTTTCAGGTTTCATACCAGCTTAATGGAAGAACCACCAGTCGTAAGCACAGTATTAACTCCAGTTCCAGAGAATTCCGAGATGACATGAGATAGTATGAATGATTAACTAGGAAAAAATAAACAAATTAAAAAAGACAGTACTCGACTTAAATCCAATGCAGTATTACTGTATGTAAATAACTCTTTAAACTAGCCAGAGGAGATTCGGAGTCGGGCCAGAACCGGAGGACAGGGGCAGCGAGCAGGCTGTGGGAGAGGGCAGCAGCTACGATATCACTGCAGACAGAGGGAATCCCGGGGAAGACGGCGTGAAGGTCGGTAGCAAAAGGAGACGGAAAACCCGAACCCAGGGCAGGTGAGCCATACAGCTCGGCCGGAGGCAGCCCGGGGCAGACTGCGGCCAAATGCAGGACAGGGCCACGCAGGAAGGAAAAGCTTCTGGGCAAATTCTGAGGCGGGTTCTGTTTCACATGGCAAAGGGGCGAAAAGAAGAAAGGTCTGCATCTTACAGCACGGAAACAGGGCTTTGCATTCTTGGTGAGTTAATCAGCGGCACAACCCTACCGAAACGCCCCGATAGTTCACTCCTCGCCTCGCGCTCTTCCATTCCCATGAGTGTGAAGCCCACGGAACTGTACATATATACAACACTGCACTCCGTGCTGCTGCTGAAGCCGGCGGCGCTGCAGCGTCCCCCGCCACCGCGGCAGGGCCACCGCACCCGCCCCGCCGGCCCCGCGCACGGAGCCGGGCTCAGCACAGAGTCGGGCTCAGCACAGAGTCGGGCTCAGCACAGAGTCGGGCTCAGCACGGAGCGGGCAGTGTAGAGGCACCCCCGGCCCCACGGCGGGTCCGCAGCGCTCCCGCCCGCCGGGGCCGCCCCGCCGGGGGCGGGCGAGGGGCGGCACCGCCGTGCGCGTTGAGCTCAGCGCGTCGCGGAAACCGACGGCCCGAGCACCGCCTCCCTCCACGGGCAGCCCCAGCCCCGGCCCCGGCCCCGGCCCCGGCCCCGCACCGCCCCGCCCCGCCCCGGCGGCGCCGCCCCCTCCGTTCCCACTCACACACTCTCCGATACAGGCACACACACACTAAGGCGCTTCCTGCGCGGCGCCGGGCTCGGGCGGGCGGAGCGGCGCCGCTTCCTCCCGCCGACTCGCAGGTACCGGGGGTGGGTGCGCGGCGGGGCGGGCGGCGCCGAGGGGCCCGGCGGTGGCGGCGTTCCCCGGCTTGGGCCTCCGCCGGCGGCCGCCGCCCTGAGCGTGGCGGCGGGTGAGGGGTGGAGCGGAGCCTCCGAGCCGGAGCCGCCTCTGGGCGGGGGCCCGAGCCCGGGTGGGAGAGGGCCCGGGAGCCGCGGCCCGGGGGTGTCCCGGCGGCCAGGGGGAAGTCGGCGGCGTCCCCCGCTGGTCCGCACATTGCTGGAGGGTGAAGTCATCGTGCCCATTGTCTCCCCCCGGGCGGAGCGAGCGGCCCGCGGCGGAGGAGGGGGGCACAGCCGGCCCCGGGGCTGGGGGAGCCGCGGAGCCGCGGGTGGGTCCCGCTCGGCCCAGGCGGGCTGTGCGGGGAGGAGCTGCCGCCCGGGTGGGCCGCGGGGCCCCTCGGCCGGTGCCGCGCTCCCGCCGCCCGGCAGCGGCAGCGGACCGGGGCCCTGGGAACTCCGGCACTTGGACTTGCGGGGCACGAGGAGAGCTGGGCACGGGAGAGCGGTGCGAGCGGCTCCCGCGCCTGCAACGCACCCCGGGGGCAGCGTTCGCACCCGCCCCCTAGAGAGTTCCGAGGTGCCCTCTCCGGAGTCTGTTGCCCACCCCGGATCCGGAGGGTCGGAAGAGTGGGAGAGTTTGGAGTGGCTAGGGACACTGCGTCTCGGCTGTGAAGTCGGTGGGGGACCAGCAGTGGTGATAGCCAGCACCCTTGCCGAGTGTTTTCCTTGCACTGGTCCTTCTGCAAAGCTGGGAGTTTTCCACCTGGTAGTGTGCTATTCAAAACACCTACTGCAGGCGCACCTTGGGAAGATAGGGAAGATTTGGTAGCAAACTGAAAGCTAGCGTGCATATATAAGTGAGCTGCATGTGAGTCCTTCCCTTCCTCCTCTTGCTCCAGTGCTGTCTCTTGACAGAAAGAAATGGGGCTTTGCCAAAGGGGTGGTAGTGGAGTTATAGGCGTATGCCAAAGGGAAAGTAATAGAACGCTGTTATTGCTGAGCAGAGAAATCAAAATTTGAAGCCTTCACATCCTTGTGGTCGCTTATTGTATATGTGCCTGTGTTTCTCTGTTAGGAGCACAAGAAATCTTGTTTCTGTTAAAATACTGCAGTTTTATCTTTTGGTGCTGATTAGTACTTTATCTCAATTGTCATGAAGAACAACAATTTTTTTAAAAAGCAGAGAGCCGTTTGGGCGATGGCTCTTCCAGGGTTTAATTGTGTAGACAAAATGAATCATAAATTAATTTTTTTTTAATTAATTTTTTTCCTTCAGTGTTTGGGTTTTTTTATAGTTAGGCTTTTTTTGTCAGCCAAAGAACCATATTTCAGTATCTGATGAAGTGTTTTTTAATAAGTTAATCGGAAAAGAAAGTTTTCAGTTTAATATCCAGGTCAAACTGAAGTATAAATTCTGAATTGCCCAGCTAACAGAATTCGCTTGCGTGCTTAGAAATGACAGCTGTGTAACATTACTTTACGGTTTCCGAAATCTTACCATTATTTAACTGTAAACATTTAAATACTTAAAGCTTTCATAAAGCTGACAAAGCACTTTTTTATTTTTAATTGCATGTGAACTAGGCTTGTTTGGTCCAGAAAATGAAAGTTTCACTTTTGCATAATGACAATAATGCTAATCTTAAAAAAGAGTTCGGTAAAAGGCTTACATATGTGTAACTCTTCTGTGTGCATATTTCTTGAAGTATGCCAGAGTTTCAACTGTATTTTATACAATTCAGCATTTGTAAAATGCTGAATTCTAGCTGTTATGTTTATTGTCAGCTGTTATTGAGTTTGTGGACATCAGGACATCATTTCTAAAGAAGGAGTTGAAATGTGTAAGTGTGGTTTTCTTCTCTCCACTTCCCCTTCAGTCTGTCAGACAAATGACACATTCCTTATGCAGAGCAATCATCAGATTTTGATTAATTATGCTAGTTGAGGCTCACAAGGAAAGAAGATGCTTGACAGATGTGTTTGTTTACCTTTGTAGCATGTACAAATTCTGGTCTCTCCATTAGTAAATGAATCATTAAAGCTCCCTTAGCTGTGGGATCCCCAGTTAGCATTAATATATGCATTAGGAAAAGTTGTTTTATGTGAATATTATCAAGCTGTGAAAGAACACAAGCTCTTGAATTCTTTTGACTGTTGGGTAGAGTCTTTTGTGGTGGAAAATGTGCATGCTTTTTTCCCCCCCTATTCTTAATTAACAGCATTTATCAACTGTTCCTCATGAGAAGAACTTCAGACTGAGTTTATTCAGGTTTTTTCCTGTTTGCTTGTGCCTCTTTGATCCTTTACTTAGTCTTACTAAAGTATTTCTTGCAAAGATCCAACACACACACCACCTTCCTTCCGTCCTTCCAGGGTGACAAAGTAGGATGCCCAAGTCTTCTCACAGGACTTCTGAATCCTAGTTTGGAAGTGCTAAGAAAGATCTTTGAACTCGGAAGTACAACTATACTGTTCTCAACCACTGTTCTCTGATGGCCTTTGGCCAAGCTTGGAGTCTCCATTGCGGGGTCAGTTTACTCTGGCCCATGGTCAGACATCTACCTTAGCTTTGTGATTTGTTTTCTGAATTGTATGTAAACACCATGTACCGGCCTAGTAGAATAAATTTTAATACCTGACTAAAGTGAGTTGGTGGATATGTGTTTTAGGCTCTGCTCTGAGTGTGATTTCTGGTTTGTAGCTGAGTTGCAAATCAGTCTGATTCTTTCTTAGGGTCAGCAAAAGCTCTTTGGAGCATTAATAGGGGTATTAATTCTAACACTGTTTTATCCATAAAGGAGTTTGATTTCAGGTTTTTCTCTTGTGTTTATCTTAGCTCTGTTTCCATTGTGCCTTCTGTGTTAACTCATGGAAGATATGTGGTTGACTGAATCAGTGTACCTAACACTGCTTGAAAATACTGGGAATGGTGTTGGATCTTATTGCTAAAAGCATGTGAATTGGTTTTGAAAGTAGACTTCTACTAAGAAGGTAAAAAGTTACATCGAGTCTTAGAGAACTGATTGTTTTATTAGTGTTGCAGTGCACAGTATTTTTTCCCTGTAGGAGAATATGGAAGAGGCCTTATCAGTAAGTCTTAAAATGTTTGGGAGTTTTCTTAGTGTTCCTGTTTTTTCCAAGAGGAGACTTCTTTTTATTTCTGAGTCTCTGAAGTGGAAGTTTTATCCCTGACTTAGTATAATTTTAGTTCATTTCAAGTAGTTTGTCTTCTAAATTCTCAATGAAATAATCTCTAAGGAAAAACATATACCTTTTTGTGTTGTATATAGATTACATTTCAGATATTGTGTGTTCTGCTTTAACTTAGAAAGAAATATAAGTCCAAATAAACCACTGTCAGTTTGAACTTAAGAGCAGAGTCTTCCCTCCTAATTATTCACTTGAAGGATTACTTCAGAAAATTCCTTCAGGCACTCTTTTAATTTATTTTATTTCTTAGTGCTTTGTGATAATAAATAGATATTTAGTCTATTGTCTGTTGCTCTTATTTATGGATTGACAGATTTCTTTCAAACTTCTATAAAGTAATGTTCACCTCATTATCACAGATTTTCTTGTAAGTTTATTTTTTAGTTGATGAAAAGAGACTTTGTGGAAGAACCTTTGCTCATTGTGAGTCATAAGGTGGCTTATTCTTTTCTTCAGTGATCTTGGTTGTTTCATATACATTTCTGGCAATTATCAGACACTGCATAACTGTTTTACTTTGGTTTTGATTGCTGGTCTTTTTTTCTGGCATGGGTTGCTTGATTTTTTTATTTTTTTTTCTCTTAGTACAAGTACTGACTCAAGGATCCAAAACAAAGCAATGGGTATCTAAAAAGAGCTGTAGACATTGTGTAGTACTGGGATACTACAGGGCTCTACTAGAAGTTTTCTTCCTGTTGTAAGCATGTCTTATACCAGCTTTAGAACAGTCTTTGAGTTTTTCGAAGTAGAATTCTTAGAAGGAAGAAAACCCTATAGCTGAGTTGTCAGATGTCATTTGTGATACCACCCTTAGGTCAAGGCAAGTGAGGAAGGCTTTGACTGTTCTCCTTTACCTTCATTGAAGTTGTAGCATACTCCTTAGAAGAATTAACCCTACCTTGGGATTTATTCATGGAATAAGAAAAAGTAGGTGTACTTTCATTTTAGGCTACTTTTTTGTAATGGAAAGATTACTGTAGACTTTTCCACTCTTAAACTGTGGGTTGAAGTCAGTCGCCTGCTGGGCAACTGTCAGCATCCTGTTGGACAGGTAGCCAAGCACTGTAATTGCCATTTGCAAGATGAGAATAGCCGTAGACTTTTTTTTTTCTGAAGGGTGAATTTCCAAAGGTTCGTTTTGCATCTAGACTGATTGTACCAGACTGGAAAGCTGATATAAGAGTTGCTTTAATCTAAAGCAACTTAGTAAAATGACCTCATGAAACAAGCCTGAAGTTTCATATATACAGGTGTTTCCTCAGGCATTAAAACTTCCTCTCTTTAGAGTCCAGCATATCCCCTAATGATGTCTTCAGCAAGACATTTGAAGGGCATCTTGCAGAAATAAATGGTTGTACCAATTCAGTTTGGTATAGTCACTTGTTTTTGCTTCCTAAGTAGAGCACAACTCTGTTAATGCAAGTATCCTGTAATTGTTCAGCACAAACTGTCATTGTGGGACTATGTCAGTTCTGTTCTGCTTCCATTTATAGTTGAGGCAAATTACTGTTAAACAAACATTTTTCCATAGGTCCTTGAGCTGCTCCCATAAGGCAGATTAGAGCTCTTACTCTAAATTGGAGCCCCTGGCTGTCCCCTTAAGTTGTTCCATTTAGTGAATGAAGAACTGCTTCAGCAAGAGGACTAACTCTGGGGAAATTGTGTGCAGTAAGAATCATGTTGCTTTGTTCTCATTGTGTTTCCCTCATGCTGCATATCCTTAATAAATAAAAATAACGCTTTTAAGTTTCTTGGTTAATGATCAGATTTTTCGCATAAAACCAAACTCTGTGAGCTACATCAAGTAATCAGGTTCTATTTTTACCCTAAAATGCTTAATCTGTCAGACAGTTCCAGCTGTAGTCTTTAGTGCACTGTGCAAGACTTCTGGTGAGACAAATTTACCTCACACATGTTTTCAAGAAATGGTTTTTAGGGAGTGCAGAATGGTCTTGCACTTTGGGGGATCTGCTGAACAGTGGAGGTTCAGGTGGGACTGAAGGTTTTAGTTGAGGCATGGGGCTTTCACAGGGCTGCTTGGCTAGTGTTTGGATATGATGACATTGCAGCAGTAGTGCTTCTGTGCCTTGTTTTTATTTTTAAATATTTATATAAAATAGACTTCTTAACTGCTCTTAGACAAATAAGAGTCTTTCTTACCACCATAATGGTTGCATTCCAGAGGAAAAGACTTGGTGTTGCCATGCCTAAATGTGTCATTCATCCAT